ACATACTGTACACAAAAATAGGGCACCATGAGATATGACAATCTGCAGAGATGTAGCAGTGTTTCTCCACAGAGCCATGGTCATGCAGGCAAAGGCTGGGTCCAGATTTACTCTCTCACATCAGCTGGTTAGTGCAGGTACAGGTCTGCCTGATCATGCTCCACAGAGGGATTAGAGGAAAGAAAACCAAGCCTACAGGTAGGCAGGGATGAATCTGTTTTGTCAGTTTCTCCTCCTCACTCCTGAAGCTTCTTCTTAAGAATGAGCACACTTTATTTTGAGAGTTTCACCTTTTTTTTTTTTTTTGAGAGCGACTGCTTCCCAAATAAGACATGAGACATGAAGAGATGTGCACAGTTTGCACACACGATCACGCACCCAAACACACACACACACACACACACACACATACTTTTGATGGACTGCTCTACATGTACAGAGTGCTGGAGAAGTAAATGAGGAGGCAAGGTCTTTTCAGCAGCATGGGCCCAGAGGGTGCAAGGCCAGATGTCCTTCCTACATTTTATGCCTGGGGGCTTTTAGTTCTTGTGCTCTCGCTGTAAGCCACACAAGCCCCCCTCGCTGTGCTGTCACTGTTATGTCACCCACTATCCGTACACCCGAGCACCCTGCCCCCATGAATGCACACTTCACAGACAGGGCTCAGGTGCGGACAGGGGGCCCACCCTAGCGACTGCTGTTCTTTATGGCTTCCTTCGCAGCTACAATCAGAGGCGTCAGGCTCGACAGGGGCTTTGCCAGCTTGAGGAAGGAATGCTGCAGAGAACAGGAAGCACAGAAAGATGTAGGCTGAGCCAGAGACACAGATAGGATTTATGAAACTGATGATTTGGTGACATGTGCAAGAAATAAAGAGCAAAGGATGTTATTATTATTATTATTACTATTAGCGATGACATAAGCTAAATTAACCTTACTGAAAAATGCTGTGGCCATTTACACACAAACAAATTATTAATAGGAACACAGAATATATAAAGTAACAATAACATAAGTTTGTTATTGTTGTTGGTGTTAAATGTTCTGTAAAATCATGAAGATTCTAAAGGCGACTTGTAAACATGTAAACAACCAGGATGCACTGAAGCCATGAATGTGCAATCTTCCACCCATTAAGTTGATATTTTCATTCAAACCATTTGTCACTTTCCTTCAGTTTTAATTTCAATGTACAATTCCACCTGGCTGATGTCACCCTTGTGGTAGTAGTATATTTGTCACTGTACAAGATATTACATGTTACAAAGGTATACAAACATGCATAAATGCTTATTGATGATTGAGTTTCAGTTTTACCTGAAGCAGCTCCTTGGCAGAGTCTCTGCGGTCCACATCCATCTCCAGGCAGCGGTTGAGGAAGTCTCTGAACACAGATGACAACCTCTCTGGGTTCTGCAGCTCTGGAGTCCCATTGGTAGCTATCAGATACAGGGCCTAGAAAGAGGCATGTGGTCAAACAGACAGACAGACAGACATCAAATGAGGATGCTAAAGTCATGTCATATGTACTGTATGGACGCTAGGGAGCTAATGTCATGAGTCCCGTTCTGTGACTACACTTTGTGTCATACCCTGAGAGGATTCTCATTCAGGTACGGCGGTTCTCCTTCCACCATCTCAATTGCCATGATTCCCAGAGACCAGATATCCACTTTTGGGCCATAAGCCTTCCGAGTCACCACCTCTGGTGCCATCCAGTAGGGCGTTCCCACCATAGTGCTGCGCTTGTTCTGCTCTGGAGTGATCTGGGCGCAGAAGCCAAAGTCGGCTGCAGGGGGAGACAGGTGCAGTGGTGTGTTAAACATTTAGTTATGGATTTTTACTTCATATTTACCCAAACTTTATTCAAATTGTCTTTCATTTAACACAATGCTGAACCTATTTAATTGAATCTGAACCATTTTTCTTTCATTAGTGATGTTTTAATCATCCATATTAAAGCCAAATTTGATGTTTGAACAAAAAAGTGAAGACTTACTAAGCTTGACAGATCCGTCCATACCCAAGAGGATATTGTCACTTTTTATGTCTCTGTGGATCACCTGGTTGGAGTGTAGGAAGTCCAGCGCTTGAAGGCACTAAAGAGAGAGAGAGAAACCTTTTAGAAATATTATCTGTTTAACTTCCACACATACAAAGGGAAGCCTGTACTAAGGTAAGTGTTCAAATGTGTTTTCATGTGGCTATCTGAATGTAAGGGTCAGCTCATAATAAAACACAGATTTAGTGGGTGGTATTGCTGATGTCTACACTTGGCTTCTTACCTCCCTGCAGACTGCAGCGATCTGGCCCTCGTCCATGCAAGTCTCAGTCACTACATCTGTCAACGAGCCACCGGCCAAATACTCCATCACCACCCATAGCTCATCTCCCACTAAGTAACTAAATAGAAGAGCGAGAGAAAGAAAAAAATGTTGTGGTTGTGAACTAGTACATATTTCATAATGTAATTTTTAGTTCAGCTTTGGCTTTGAGTCTGACAAATTCTAATTACACTATAAATTATGAGTAAATTATCATTAATCCAGGCAAAGGATCTTTTTCCAGAGTTGACACAACCTTCCCAAGTACAAGACTGATAAGCATATCTATGGTTTAAGATTACTAAATATGAAAATACCAGATTACTTGAGGATGCAAAGCCAGTAATGACACACAGAGTAGTAGGCATTCAAAGACATTACTGACAATTGTATTGAAATCAGAGCTGTGTGGACCAGACGTTAAAATTTAGATAGAAACCGCATAGTTTTTTAGTTAAATGCTTGTTTGTGCTTTAAAACACTAGGTGGCAGCCTTGCACTTTAACATGGGGGCTAACCACCATTAAAAGGGGAGAAGAAGAAACAGCAACAGCGGCAGTAGCAGAAGAAGAAGAAGGGGGAGGAGGAGGAGATGAAGGAGGTGAAGGAGGTGAAGAAGATAATCTGAAAAAGAGGCTCAGAGGTTCTTTTGTTGTCATTATTATAACAACAGGCTATGACCTTTTCAAGCTTCTGACTACAAATCAATTACTACTGACAAATTAACATCACATCAATACTGCTGTGAGATTAAAATGCAAGTAACAGAATTAAAGAGGAAGCAGTGCTGAGTGGGATCGTTGATTTGAGTCTGAACTTTTATATGCATATGATTTCATATGTGCCACAGGTTAAATAACTGTGCCATACAGCTGTTAAGGTCTCTTTACAAAGTTTAGGATTATATTTTTAGATTCATTTCAAATTTCAAATATTTTCTTTAAGAGTTTGTACGAGACTTCTGTTTCCAGTGTCTACAGATCTGTGAAGATAATATGTAGCAAAATGATTAGTAAGTTAACCAGTTAGTAAATAAACAGAAAATTAGTCAACAATTTTGATAGTAATTAACCATTTAAGCAAAAGTCCATACATTTGCTTCCTCCAGCTTCTCAAATGGGAATTTCGCTGTTTTCCTTTCTTCGGGGGACACTGTGATGGCATTATAATTCTCTTTTGGGGTGATCCCAATGTAGATCTCAGGAGGTTTTCTATTCATGTTTTTGTAAAAAGAACAACAACAACACTGACCTGTCCAAGTAGTTCACTATATTGGAGTTTTTGTTTTCCCTCATCACCAAGATCTCATTAATGATCAGCTCCTTCTTGGGCTGCTGCTGCAGGTTCATCTGCTTAATGGCTACCTGTGAAAACAGATGTGGAATTTGCAGCTCAAAGCAAGCATAAGCCTGATGGCTCGGGGAAAGAAAAATACAGTAATGAGAACACTGTACCTCTTGGCCAGTTGCTATATCGATGGCAGTGTACACAGTGCCAGACGCCCTGTAAAATCACAAGATCAAAATCACATCAATGCTACATGATTTAAGTGTAGGTGACACTGATATTTATAAAGAAATGTATTTATTTTGCTTAAATCCAGCAAAAACAATAAAACAGCTCCATTTTCAGCCAAAGTAAATGGTGTAAAAACATGACTACTGTTTTGCCTGAACAGTGCAAGGCAGCTCCAAAACTGTGCAAATGTGCAAAAGTCCTGCAGCAGATACTTCAACAAAATTATGTTCGTCATGTTGTGCTGCTGCTACAGGAACAGAATGTGTGTCTTATATATTAAGTTATATACATCAGATTTAACATTCAGTTCATATTCAGTTAACAGTCAGGCTGCAGAAACTCTGGTTTCATATTCTGCTCTGGGAATATAGTTAGATTAAGTGGACAAGTTAGCATGTTGGCATGACTAAACAAAATGTTAAATAAATCACTAGTTAAGATTAAGTTGTACTGTACTGATGTTATTTAATAATAAATTACACCAGTGCGAACAGTTTAGAACAGTCGACACTTGATGCCAGAAGCTTCAAAAGTCTTCTTTTAGTTCTTTGTTACAAAGTGCATGTGCTCATCTCACCATGAAAATTTGAATTACACTGAATTACCTTAGCTATGAATTAAGACATATATCCATCAAAGGAACAGTATGCAGCCATTCTGCCCTTGGAAATGTAACTCAGCAACCTTGGGCTGTGAATTTAAGCCTCTGATATTTCCTCTTCCCTCTTTCACTTGATTTTAAATGCACATGTGTCTTGTCAGAACTTTGAATAATGCAACAGTTCCTGGTACTAATAAGTTAAAGATAACTCAGCAGAGGGTACATAGACAGTTGTCTACAGTTTAAGAAAGGCGCTTCCTGATCAACTATGGAAATAGTGAACATGTTAGAGCAGATAACAACCTCACAGTTTTTATCTGTGCAGGTGTATAATGAACAGCGAGAGTGACAGAAAAACAGCAGCCTTAAAAAACAGAAAGACAAGGACGGGGAGAGAGAAAGACTGAGATGGCACAGCTAATCTAGGCCTTGTACATTTCCTCTCTACTTATTTTCCTCCCAGTCGTTCACCCTAACCCTCCCTCTGGCTCAGCCTCTGTAAAGTGGTCACTACAGCTCCACGTCTCCTGGCAAGGCTAACTGCTCCTGAATCACTCTATCTCAGTAACTGTGACAAACGGTTGATAATCTCTGATGGACTTACCCTTGTCCTATTTTCTCAAAACGTGTGTACTTCTTTTTGGGATCCCCCACACTCACAATACTCCCTGAGTCAGAAAGAACAGAGACATATAATGATTGAACTTGTGTGGGTGTACACTGCCATGATGGCATTCACATGAACTCACAATACACAGAAAACACCCTACAGAACCTTTTCTGGCTTTCTATTTCAGACATAGTCTGCCTTATAGTGCAGCCACTATAAATACATGCATTTTAGGAAAAAGTTAAAATAAAATTCAAAATTATTCCTGGCAGGCATAAAACAACCTCTACACAAATGAAATGTACTGAACATATAAGTAAATAATTAAATGAATAAATACAATGGAAAAAAGTAGCTGAATTGTTTTGGTGGCGTATTAGAACTGTCTGAAGAGGGTGGGGGTATTTCTACAATCATAGCTCTACAGACACATACTGAGTCTCTCCAGAATCTCCTCATCTGTCATTTTGGACTTCTTCCTCTGGCGGTCAGTGTGGCGGTACATTGTGTTGGATGTGTTCTCTGGCTGGACCTGAGACTCCGGTGGAGTCAGTACTTCTTTCACAGGGGTGGGAGGCTTTGGTGGGTCCATGACAGAGCGTGTGTAGATCTGCAAGGGGGGAAAGGAAAGTGAAAGAAATGCAGATCAGGCTGCATTTGCAGCAGAACGATTTCACCGGTCATGCCATATAAACTCACAGATTTGGTGTGCTCAGGCCGAGGTGCGATGACTGGAGGCAATTCGTCATCATCATCCTCCTCTTCCTCCTCCTCCTCTTCTTCCTCTTCCTCCTCATCTTCCTCTTCTGATACAGGCGGTGCAATCGGGGGCTCTGTTGTTGATGTTTTGGCACCCTGCGGGGTAGAGGTGCAAGTAAGTCTGGATGCATGTGTCATGTAGCCGGATGGAACAGACGTAGGTCCTCCTTGTTTTCCACTAATTGAACAAAATGATTAGTTTTTTGTGATATGCTGTTTACAGTAAAACAGTAAAGCTCCTAATCAGCCATGTGCAGAGTTTGAGTTCTGGCCATTTAAGATTAAGACTTTATCACACAAGCTCTAATGATAGTGAATTAGTTTTTAAATGGTTTCAGTCATATAGCATAACAGATTCAAATTACTGAAGATGAAAAATAAATCATAAACATGTAATTCAAAAGTGGTTACAAAATGTAGCGTATGCAATTGACGTAAAAAAGATAAGAGTTGATGCTGGGATATTCTCTGCTGTAACAGGACATTTCACATTTTGTGCACATAATGAGTTAAGTTCAATTCTGTTAAGTGTGCAGGAAAGCGTTATGAGTTAAGTGAGAGCTAAAGAGACAAATGTTAAAAGATTAAGCTGACATTCGGCATAGGGTTTGTAGGTTGACAGGTTAGCTCAGGTGTGAACCGGTTATGAGAATACATTTTTAAATGCAGAACATTTTATTCTTACTTAATTGAGCTGTAGGAGAAAACATGCCACAACATTGCAGTAATGTGCAATATGGTGATGAACTGCTGACATCCTCTTGATGTGGATACCTTTTAACAAGTGTGATTAATATGCCTCAAACATATTTGTTATGCCTAATGCGCAGCCTTTATTTTCCCCATCCAAAACTCTGCTAGCCTTGGATCTTCTTCCTTTTATGGAATGGAAACATTCCCTTCCATTTCCAGTCTTGTCATGCAGAAATTAAGCAGTGCAGCTTCGTTCTAGTGACTGAAGGGAAAAGGTCTGTCCTCCATTCAGACATAATGGGTGTCTGACCTGCTCCAATATTGGCTCGGCCAAGACTGCAGTGCAGAAATGAGCGTCTGGCTAACTATAAGCAGTGCCATGTGGTTTTTACTGAGCCATGCGGTAATGTCTACAATGGTGATGAAGTTACAGGCACATTATTGGCAATGTGGACCAAACTGTAAGGAATATGAGCTCATACATGCAGTCTGACAGTCATCACAACCCTCTGTGGCATGCGCCCCTGCCCTGCCATTTCAGACACAGTCCATTCAAAGAAAGATCAAAGGTGGTAGATAATAAATGCATCTATAACATCAAAAACTAATAGATCCAATCATACTCCCCATGAAATTTTAATGCAGAGAGTGACAATGCCTCTAAAATCAAATAAATATTTGTATGCATTTTGCATTAGCCACTTGTCAAAATCAGGAGATCAAATAGTGAAATTTAGCTTCAAAGCCAATGCAGAGATACATCATATGGAAAGTAATATGGAGGAGTTACCTTGTCATATAATGCGCTGCAGGTTCTAAGGCTGACAGGAGGCCCAGATGACAGCAGTCGGTTCTGAATGTGAAGGTTGAAAATGGGAGGATTTACTCAAAACAAACCCACACAGAGTTTAAGAGTAAGTGGACTTGAGGGAAGGGGGTAAGGGCAGGGGTTCGCTACTGAGGGATGGACATTAGGTCTGTACACTGTCCTCATAACATACAGCATGGAAAGAAGACATGATAGAGACAAATCATGCCACGTGAGGACTGCCACTCTTCAGATTTCTTGTATAAAACTATAACCACTTCTTATTCGGATGCTACAATAGGAACTTCTTTCTCAGGCAGCCACAGTAGTTTTAGGCTGATTAAAAATTTCTTCGTAACATGTTACAATCTATTAGACTTACACCTCATTTTACACACCCACAGCCACTGAACCTTCAACAACAAAAATTAAAACCATGTTCATTTCTGTTTATGATCGAACCAGAGGGTTTGTTTCCTGCCCCCAAATCTCTGGGGTGAAAATAATAAGCTTTATTTTCCTGTCAGCACAAAGCCTATGTGGTTTTTTTTCATGAATGCTCTTTTGTTTTTTTTTGTGCATTTATCTTCCTGCCATAAATGAATGACTTTATGCTGAGGTGGGAGGAGAACCACAGTTAAGGGCATGTTTGTGCAGCGCAGTGCAATTTTGGTGCTCATTTTGACCTGAAATTACATTTGTGTTAAAATATACTCAGGCCACCCAATTTGGCCACCCACCAAATGCAGGTAATTTTCCTAACAACAGTCTAGGCTATAAAGCATGAAATCAGGGGTGAAATATGTTTGAATGGCCACACCAACTTAAAATAAACCCTTTACTCCAAGGATTTTCAGCAAACTGTGACCCAGGAACCACCATCCTGACTAAGAAGTTAAGCGAGGACCACTGTTATGGTGGTGGCTACATCGGATCTTGAAAGTCACCTTTGCTTTTCTAAATTGTATATATTCGCATGAATTTGATTATTTACAAACAATGAATAATACATGGAAATGTGCTTTAAAAAAAAGCTTTCTACAGTGAAACTCCATCAGTGACTTCATGATCAGGGACCACCTGCAATGCCTTCCTGAGGCTGTGGACCAATGGTTGAAAACCCCTGCTTTATTCCACAACTGATCTGCTTAAATTCACTGTAAATGATTTATTGTGAAACTATTTGAACTATGATGTGTGTGATATTGTAGAAACAGACAAACAGATAAACTAGTCCTCAGTATGTGGCTATAGATACAAGCATGGTCAGACAGAGTCATGACACACCATCTGTCCTTATAGGATGCAGCTGCAAGTAAATTACACTATAATTGCAGCTGGTTAAAGGACCCATGTCTTTCTGTTCTCCATGCACAAAAGATTGTAATAGATACCTTTCTCATCATCACAGTTTAGCAATTGGTCCATAATTATTAGAAGAAGAAGATTTAGGGAAAGGGAAAGAATCGTTTGTCTCCACATCTCAAATATTCTAGTAGATGTGATCATGGTGACTCTGCACCTCACAGACAAGTATATATTTCCTCATGTGAAAACTTTCTCTTACGGAGCCTCTCCAAATCAGCCATCATGACATCAGTGACATCAATCAAAATCAAAAGTCAGGTTTTCTGAGGTGCTTTTAAAAGGGGTGAGAGGTTGCTGGTTTGATTGGCCATTAATAAGCCTGCACTGACTCCACCTGCTCACAATGCATTCATCCCACTAATAATATATTATATCCCTCTTCCACACTGCGCCCGGTTGCGCCTGGCTGTGCTAAATATGCACCAATGCCAGTGGACACCAAGAATGCAAAAATTTGCTGGACACACCCATTTACACCATCGCCTGGAGTTTGTGTTTGCCCCTGCACCCTATTTCAGAAAAGTGGAGCCCAGTGTCTGATAGAGGTGAACACAGTGAACAGTATTTAGCAGGATAGAATGGAAAAAAGCAGACACAGTAAGTAAAGTTCAGATTTTCTTACTGCAGTCTGATGATCTAAAATTCAAGTGTGACTTTGTGCCTGACCACAGCTTGGATTAGGATGCAACACAATGCCTCTACCACCAGTATTTGGGCGCAGTATGCTGAGCTAAGGACAAGGTGAGGCACTGGATCGACCTAAAATATGAACATTTGGCTCAAATGGATGCTCATAGAGACTAAATAAAATCCAGATATCTCACATTGTGCTGATGCATTATGGGGAAATTGCTTAAAACTGCTGTTTGTCCTAATTCTTGATGAGAAGTGGGCTGTAGCAGGAGATCAGTACAGAAGAGCTTACAGAAAACAACACACCAGTTCCAGTTCTCAAATATTTCCCTGCATTGCAGGTTAGTAGGCGCTGGTGTTCAAAATAATCTGACAGACAGCATCAAGTATCTTATGATGGGATACCGTTCTTCTGCTTGTCTTAGACAGCGCGGTTCAATCTTAGGATAAAATCTCTGGCTAATGGCTGAGCCACCTCTGCGGCCATAGAAGACTGTGACAGTTTAAGGCTGAGATGCTATCAGCTACATTCATACAACCCTTTAGACTCACAGCCACACCCGGTTGCCTTTCACTGGCAAAGAGCTCTTCTAAGCAATAGCCCTGCATGAAGCAATCTCAATGTTATTCGCCTGGGGCTGTGAATCCCACTGACTTGGATTCCACTTCTCGAGTGTATACAGGCCAAGGCATTCAAAGCATAGATTACTCTGGTCAAAGCCAGGAATGAGGTCAGCTCAGCGGGAGCCCTGGATGCAGTTGTGCCTCCAGTGAAGCCCATCTATGGGTATTTCAAAATCTGGTTAAGTAGATTGGAAAAATAAACAATGAGCGGCAGTAGCTCTAGCAGCAGTCACAGTTCCTGTATAACTGATTGGCATGTAGGCAAATTCCAGAGCATTATGCCACAAGGTCAGGACAGTAAGCCTCCGGGGGGGAACACACACACATTTTGCCCATTAGAGGAAGAAGTCAGAAAGTAACACTATTCCAGAAATTCCCAGGCAGAGTTTGTGAGAGAAAAGTGAGAAAGATTTACTGTGGTGTCGTCAGGGAAGCATAATTGCTTTAAGACGACGAAACAGAGCCACACATTGCTGCCACTTACCTGTTAAATTATTACACTGTTCACTTCACAAAAAATACATTTCTCCCCATAGATTACTTAGAGTTGAGAGATTTTCCACAGCAATGAACTAGCGCATGGTTAAGAACCACATATTGGGTTGATTTGTACTGGTAATGTTTTATTACTTTAATAATCAGACAGACTAGGGACGTCAAGCTATGCAGCACAGCGCTATGATTCCAGAGGAGCTACTTTTATAGTATTAACATTCTTAATAATTATTTAGGCTTAAAAATAACCAACACTAACCAAAGTAAGTGCAGATATAAGAGAACTCACCAGAGTGTTTGCCGCTATATACCCATGTGCCGACTTGTCTGCAACAGAAAGCAACATTCTTACAGAAGCAGCATACTGCAAATCATTTGTTTTAGAGATAAAAAATAAATACATGTATTTGCCTTTTGTATTGGTGACTTTGATTTGATCTCTTTATTACTTTGTTGCTTACCTCCAGAGGTGAAGCTCATGTATTTCTGATTGTTGACAGTCTCTTTGGAGTCGTAGAACTTTAAGACGTCCAACACTGCCTGTGGGTTCTTCTTCTGCTCCAGCTTGGTGATGTTCGAGGTCTGTAGGAGCCGTGCCCACTGCTCTGGGATACCCTGCACATACAGACAGAGGTCAAATGCTAAAAAAAAAACCCTGAAAATTAAACCTTCAATATGCTGCTTGGTTGTAGTTTTCTATTTAGGGGTCTGTTTTATGACTGGTATCAATCTTCTAATCGTTCTTTGGCCACAAAGTGAATACTTTCACAAATGTCTGAGTATTCTTTTAAGGTATTTCCACATGTTTTTTAGCCTATGCTTGGCATGTTTTAACTGATTCTGTGAACAAGGAACTATTTGTTTCATGTTCCAGAGCATGTCTGACCGCCATGCAAGGCACCTTCATTATAGAGTTTATGTGGGAAAAATGTATTATTAGTTGACTTTATCATGTTCATGTATTGTGAATTTACAAGTTCATGTCTGAGCCATAAGAGGAGATTTTTTGAAGCAGTCCATATGCCTGATTTTCAGGTGAAACAGATACTCACTGTGAATTCTCCTGTTACAGCATCAAAGCCAACATGAATGGTGTGTTCAAAGTCTGAGGGTAGGGATATCTCAGGACGTTCCTTCTCCTTCTTCTTGTTCGCTATAGGAGATGAACAAAAACAGATTACAGGCTGATTTATAATCTTTTAATACACAGCAAACTAGCAAATTGCATCAGACTGAGCACAAAGGTGACATGTGAAAAAGGATACTCACTTTTGTCTCCCCCTGGGAAGATGGAGCGCAGGCGGACTTTCTTGTTTTTCTCTTCAGGAGCCATTGGAAGCGGTTTAGAGGCGTGATTCACTGATGAAGAGTCTCGGGAACTACTGTTCATTCTCAAGGGGGGGGCTGGTGGTTTCTCTTCAATATCAACACTATCAGACATCTTTAGTAGCACTCACAAAGTCCTGTGTGAGAGACAGAGAGAGATGGAGGACTTCAGTGTTACAAGGTCTGAGTATAAATCAGAGAGAAGCAAGTGACGAAGGTTACACAATCCCTCTGGATTTACCAAATGTAACAACCTTGAATGACTACAATACAATAATAAGGTACTCAACTGAGAAATACAGGTACTGTATGTTTTATTTGATTCTACATGTTTTTTTTCTCAGCTACAAACAATGGCAGCAACATTATTCAGACATACATACGGGAACATACTGCATGTGAAATAGCTGTCTGTCTTTGGTGAAAGGCATATAAGATAAACTATAAAATGTCAGAGATTAGCCACTGGAATTTCCCATAGCCCAGTGTACTAGCCGTCTAAAACCCAACAATGTTACTGGAACTCTTCAATGATACAGATAAAATTAGCTTAAATTCATATTGGAATTATTACAACTGAGTTTTACTGATTGTCTAGTTGGTTCTTCCAGCATTACAGCAGTCACAACATTTACTTCACTGGCTCAGTAAAAATCTGACATTAATTAGTTTTGTACACTAATGTACTGATGAAGGTGGGCAGAAAATGAGACGAGTTTCTCTGCATCTGTTTTCTGAAGTAGCACAGCTGGAATAATATAAATGTGCCAAAGCCATAATAAGACTTGATATATGTATTCAGACAGATCTAACACTCACAGAGGTTTCCTGGCTACAGTTTAAAAGTATTGTATACTTAGGCATATTTTAGCAAGGTAACACAAGAAATCCTGTTGCAGTAACACTGGCTGAAAAATTCTCATGAAATTATGTATTTTACCAGTTCTCTGCTGACACATGTGATAGTTTATATAGCAGAACTATATACTATTTATATTAAGAAAACACATAACCCCTAAAAAATTAACTGTGATGCAAAAAATATATATGAATACGTATGAATGTCTTCTCTTGCTCTTTGAATGGAGGATAGTGCTGTATTTGCAGCAGAGGGGGAGTTTGACACCCAGTGAATAACTAGGAGTTAATTTTCAAAGGCAGAAGTAAAAGTTCCCATCACTCATCCTCTCATCTTCCATGTTCTCATCCCACTGTCTTAGACTCCTTCGCTGTGTCACCCTGAGGCCAAGCTCATCATTTGACGTGCAGCAAAACCGTGCCAGAGAGCTGGCCACCCAGGCTGCCCCCTTAGTGGAGACCTGCATTAGCAAACAAAGACCACTCCTCGGCTTTTACACAGCATGCACTGCCTCTGACGAGTTACACGTGTGCCTTCACAGGGACCTTTACAATTTTACATAACCATCACCTGCACAAGACAAAATACATGTATGGTTCCTACTTCTCCCCAAATAAAAAAGGCTTTGAAAGAAGGAATTAGATTAGTGAAAAGATGTAACATGATAAGCAATACAATTATTAAGTGATGAGCATTTTAAATAAAAAGTCGAATACACAAAAGACAACCTGCCAGAGCACTTTGACTGAGATTCTCTTGCCCTTATTACCTACAAGAAAGCTATGGGTTAATGTCGACACCGACACTGATTAAGGCAGCATTTCATTATCATCTCCAAAAAAAGCTGAACAGTGTCTCATCTAGTTTAACTGTTCTTCTTCCCAGGATAATATTACCATTATGCATTAGGCTGATTCTAATGTTTTATTCACATAAACCAGAATATGTGACAATCCTTAATATGTGAAAAAGACTAGCAGATCAAACACTGGTCTAAGATAAAGGACTGCCAACATAATCCTGAAGTTTAAAAGAATGGTGTTATTGTTCTCCTCTGTATGGACTGATGAGAATAAGAAGAATCATGTTTCATTTAGCAAGAGAATTTAATAAAGAAAATGCATTGTGATTTTTCCCCCCCAATTAGATAAACTTGTCTATCATCACTGCAGGAAATTATTAGCAACCCAAATACAGCTGGCCTTCAGTATCAGCTTGCTGTAGATGAATTTTCATGACTTATCTAAGTTAGGATGCAACAAAAGGTGGGCACAAGTTATACAAACCAAATGAGAGAATGGCATCAACAGTACAGTGCTCATAAGTGTTATTATAAAATTCAAGATATTAAAAAATGCTCTAGCCTCTTTATCGGGTTGAATACACCATTCAAACAGACGGCCTTTGTGTAATTCAGACACCTACAGAGAAACATTTTATGGTCTTAAATCAAGAATACATTTTTAAGATTACTTTCCTGGTAGCTTATGAGGATCTTGTGAGATATACAGTATGGGTGGTGGGGGTGAGTCTGCTGGCAGTTTTTCCCATAGTGGATAAGTTCCAGGTGTGAGTCTAGACAACAGCGCCAAACAGGTTCTCTTCTGTTGGAGATTGGGCGTGCCAGAAACAATGAGACCCAGTAAAACTCGACTGTTTACAAAGGAATGTCACAGCATTGTCATGCTGAAGCAACAGGGAGCTGATGACGACATGGAAAAAAAAAACCAACAGGAAGTTGTTGAGGCAAGAAGCAAGATGTGGTGGGAGCTCGTGGAAGACAAGGTACGCGCATGCATGTGCACACTGGGCCATAATTTATTTAATGCTTCACAGGCAGCAGTGGAAGATGTACTCTGGTTCCTTACTTAAGTAAAAATTGCAATAACACAGTGTAAAAATAGTGTGTTACCAGTAAAAGTCTACATTTAAAATGTTACTTAAGCAAAAGTTCATCAAAATATAATTGAAGTACCAAAAGTAAAAGTATGGATGCATTATTATATGTACATCACTTTATTGTTGCATATTGTGTAGATGGAACTAATTTTAACTACATGCTGTTTTGATAATCTGCTGTTTTGAATCTAATAATTCTAATTTAAAATACTTTGCTGCTAGGAATCTTGTGTATTTTCCACTTGGGATCAACACTGTCTTATGATGATCCATCCATCCAACCATCCATCCATTATTTATACTGTTTATTCCTGAACAGGGTCGAACACATGGTTGCTAGCTACAATATGTCATACAGCTTTTATAGTTATGCACAGAGGTGTGCTCACTAACATGTGCACATGGCACAAGCAAAACCGGACAACAGTAATTGATATCTAATCAATCAGAGGAAACAGGTTCTAAGGCCTCATGAATTCTTTTCCTGGATGAATCATACTGTACACCTTAGCTTCTTTGATTGTAACGGCCTCCTCGGCACAGAGTACACTTTCATAAAACAATGAGGGTACAACACATGCTCATAAAAATGATCATTTTAATATACAACTGTCACTGGAGAGTAGTGTGAATGATTCATGTAGCTGAAAAACTCTTCAGTGTCTGTGGCCATTTCTATATCAGGCAGCGGCAAGGATTTGTGCCACCAGCTGAAAAATACAAGCCAAAAGGAACCAAATGATTTTCTATATTACAAAACTCTGTCCGCTCTTCACTGCTGTGCGTGCGGCTTTTAGGCCAATCACCTGACATTGGCTGTTGCAGCAGCTCTGCCGAGCACTCAGATGGCTAAAGATGGCAGATTCAAAGAGACCCAGACATCAGTGTTTCTTTGCTCACATAAAACACTGACCTATTTTTTTGTGCAGACTGGCAGGCAGTCAGTCAGTGGGCGCACTATTCATGAAACAAGCAGCTCCTGTCTCTGAAACACACAGAGACTAGTCTCTCCACATTATAGATCGAAAAAGAACTGAAGGACCTATGAGTTGCTTGTTTTTTTTATATGGGGTCAAAATGCAAAGCAGTAAAACTGCAGCTGTACCACTGATAGACAATATGCTCATTAGTCTGAAATGACACGTCCAAACTTAATTGTGCTTGACTTGCTTTATTAGGACGTGACATTTTGAGGTTTTGATATAGGATTGTCACAAGTGTCTAAAAAACACAGACACATCAGATCAACTCAGATATTACTGAGGATGTTTTCACATTTCCCTTCCATAAAATATTTATCTATCCATGAAGAGCAGGCCTTTTCTCTGCTCTTTCAAACATTAATGCTGAACTGGAATGGCTAACACAGGAAGAGGCTCTAATCTTGAGCCCATGGTGGCTCGGTAATGGCCCTACGGTGGGGGGAGGGCTCCATAAACCCGACTCTTCATGCCCCTGATTAGGACACACTCTCTGTTTAACTGGGTTTTAGCTCTGGCTGTGCTTGAAGGATGCTGATTACTTGGATGAGATGGACAACTTGAAGGAGGCAGGAGAAATACTCCAAAACCATAGATTACCCTTGTTATCCTCTCTATACAGTAGTTTTTGCAAACACTGGGTTTATGTGATTCAAACTACATAGACACACAGCAACACCTAAAAGCAGCACAAAACAAAAAACACTTCCCCCAGACGTTAAAGCACCGAAGGCCAACGACACACAGATGTCAGAATGTTACTGCACAAGTCGCCTTCTCTCATATGGATGGTTTGCCAAGGTCAGACTAAATCACACAGTTCATGGAGGCTGGAGGACAAAGGGGAGGAGTTTGGTGATAAAAACGGCACAAACAGCATTGAAAGGTACATGAGTGGGGAGGAGTTTGGTGATAAAAACGGCATTAACAGCATTCAAAGGTACATGAGCAGAAATTATGATGACAGGATCAAAACCTCACATGGTCAAACATATCACAAATCATCTAATCTAATTTTAGATTTTTATTGTTCATAGAAATATTAGAGTTAAATATAATAAAAATATAAGCTGGCTAAGCATTAATGGTTATTATTTGGAGCCTATTCCAGTATATATTAGAGTACATGTCCAGGCAAACACCTGGAATTATTGCTGCATTTATGAAAAGCATAATCTCAGTCTTTACTAACCTTAATTAAATAACAGGTGTCATGCGTAGATATTGTGGAAGGCAGAATTTTTAAATAAGCCGATCAAATACAATACCAATGTTGCTGTCTGTCACCGGCACTGGGCCTTTACAAGTAGCTCAGTATTTTGGGAATGACACAATTCACATTTATGGTGAGAGCTGAGATGAGAAGATCGACTCCATTCTCATATATGTACATTAAATA